TTATTAGAAGCAAGGTGTATCTAGTGGTGATGTAGCCTAATAAACTCAAATCTGACTGAAAGTAGACTACTTTCAAAAAAGTATATTTTATAAAAAAAATAAATTTAAAAAACAGTAAATATTGTTTTAGTTCCCCCAAACAGAGTTCCTACAACTTCAAAAAGCACCAAAAACACACGGGTACTTCCGTCAATAGTTCTAGTGTATGGGACATGTAATTTTCTTATATCAAAATTAGTACAATAATAGCTACATCTTGAATATATCTTTATAGAAAAATCTTAATACTGAACATGTTTTTGCATTATCATGGGTCATGTTTTGTCCTATGGAAAATTAACCATGGTTTTATTAGGAACAGGACCCTCTTGCCTCTCTGCTCCACCTGGCGCTTTCACTCCATTCTCGCATCCTTTTGGCGGATGTGCTAGGCAAATCGTATTCATGATTTATTAAGAGTCTTATTATTGAATGGCGAATTCGGAAACAACCACTTTGGTACATTCGGCAGTCTGCAGGCAACAAAAACAACAACAATATTAAAAAATGTAGGGCAGCGGGCCAAATCAGCTGCCAGGCCATCGGGAATTCTCCCGGTTCAATATTTGGCAGATATTATCAACTTGATTGCACAGACAGTAATGGATGAGAACTGAATTGAGCTGGATAATGACATTGCTGTTTTCTCCAGAGCTGCTTTAAAAATTAAACTTGTTCCAATTGATTAACTTAACACAGTTATTGAAACAAACTGAATTGTCAATGAACTGATTTCAACTAAATAATGATGTCATTGTCCTAGTTATAGTGTGGACTTTGCTATTATATAGACTTAGAGCGATTATTAAAACTTCATGGTTATTGCGATCGTTCCTGGTGTGAACGGGCCTTAACTGACATGATTTCTGACCTTGGCGATGTCTTCAGGTGTTTGGCCCAGGCCTTGGAAGATGTTCGCTGCACTGGGCAGGTAGCAGGTCCTAAAGTGGTGTAGCGTCTCTGGATCAGTACCGACATACTCTTTCTTAGAAACATCTGCAAACATCTTCATCTCAAACTCAGTGTGTACGGGCCCGGGCTCGATCATTGACATACTGACAGGCAGACAAATACACCTCCATCAATAACAGAGATCAACAAATCAACAACAGAGAGGCATCACACAGATCAAGAACTGCTGCTCTGAAGAACAACCTCTAGAACAGTGCTTCTTAACCCTTATGGGGTTCAAGATACTCCTGCAGTTTTTTTTATTTAATTAAGGTTTGTATTAAAATAGTTATAAACAATTATTTCATCAGCATTCACTATTCATCAGCAACACTATTTATGACTAATTAACTCTTGTGTCATTTGTGTTTACAGGTTAAGGGTTTTTATTTAATTATTCATTACTCACAAATATAAATTTCTCAGCAATTTGTAACAAAAAAAAACATCTATTTTAGAACTTGACACAATTCATAATTTCTATGACTTTCTCTGCTCCAGAAATCATGCTTTTAAATTTTTCTCACATCCATGTTTTCCAATGCCACAGTATTCCTGGTTCCTACATACATTTGATGTTAGTTTGGAAATGTTTTCTTGATTCTTTAATCGAGGGAACAAATGAGAATGTTTTTCAGCTTATATCTTGATTCTTAGTTGCTTTAGCTCATTTTAATGCTTTTTTTTTGTCTGATTTTAAGTCATTTTGTTGTCCCTTGTGGCTCTAAATCTTTCTTTAGTCCCTGATCTGTGATCTTCATTGTGTTTGTACAAGTAACAGCCCCTCCAGACCACCAGAGGGACCCATCACACACCATCACAGTGTTTCTGTAATGTTCATGTTGTTTGATCACTGATGAAAAGAGTCAAAAAGTGTCAGATACCAAAGTCATCAAGTGACAGTAAGTGTAAATGAGAAGATGAAAAGCAGGAGTGTCAGAATGATCAGCAAATGCAGCGAAACTCACGTGATGTTAAACTTGAGCAGCTGGACGGCCAGACTCTCGCAGAACCCCTCTATGGCAAACTTTGAAGCCGAGTAAACATCATTAAACGCCACACCTGCGAAGAGCAACACGAGTCACATCAGTGTGGCTCTCATCATGCTTATTTGCAGTTTATTGGCTTTAAGCTGTAAATGTTTCTGTACACTGATGTTTGCACGTGTTTGTCATTCAGCAGATCATTGGTTTCCATCAACATGAAGAGCTCTTCTTCGGTGTCTATCTGATCAACATTATCAATAATCCTCAAGTAGAGATAATTCCTTAGGAAGAATTCTTCAACTCCACAAATGAAAATAATAATATGTTATAAACGCTCAGTGTTTACCCTGCAGGCCCATCGCACTGCTGATGACGATGATGTGTCCAGAGCGTCTCCTCTTCATGTCAGGCATCACCTCTTTAATCATGCAAACCGCACCAAAGAAGTTAGTCTGGAACACCTTCATCATGTCATCCATGCCGAGACCCTCAACCGGCCCCACCAGACCCACGCCAGCGTTATTAACTATGAACACACAGATCACAGCTACTTCACCACTGCTGCGCATGGATTTAAGGCTTGTCCACACCAACACAAAAGTTCAGTTTTCACATGGAATGAAAAAATGTAAAAAGGTAATTGTAACTTTTTATCTCACAATTGTAACTTTATTTCTCACGATTAAAAGTTTATATCTCACAATTCTGACTTTATTCCTCACAATTCTGACTTTATTCCTCACAATTCTGACTTTATCCTAATTATAAATTTATAACTCACAGTTTATATCTTCATATATAACTGAATTTGGAAGCGTTTGTAACTGACAATTCTGAGTTTATATGGAAACTTGGAATTGTGAGAAAAAAGTCAGAAATGCAAGATAAAAACTCTGAATTGCAAGTTGTAAAGTGAGTTTGACTCTGGAAGGAAGTATCGTGCAAGGAAAAGCAGAAATACACTGGTACACAAGGACAATGATGTAATATATGCTATTTTTTTCTTTTTTATTAATATTTTAATGTTGGTTTGATGTGCTATAACTGATGTTTGTTGTTATTCTGTTCGTAAGTACCACCAAGTCATAGTTTTATGTAACAGCAGGAATTAAAACATGATGTTTATTTGCAGTGTGATGGAAAAAATATTAGCAAAGCTCTCCATAAGAAAAAAATGCAATTATTTTTATCATCATTATCATTTTAGCATTATATTTTATCATTATTTATTTTGCATTTATTTTATCAGAGCAGTCAGATGCATTCCCTTTGGGAGAATTTAAGTTGTTTTCTATCTCATTTTATAAAATGTGATTTAAATGTTTTCTGAAATATATTTTTCTTAGTTTTTCTGACAGATACCGTGCTGTTGATGTCACAAGTTCACCAGCGTATGTCATCATGCCGTCACAAGAGCAGTCACCTCAACACACTACATTTCCCAGAATCCTCCCCGGCTCACACCAGCTCACAGTCCACAATCACCGCACCTGTCTGCCATTAGCTTCATCAGTGGGCCTTGATACAGCACCAAGCACTCGCACATTGTCTCCTTGTTTCCCTAGATTTGATGTCTTGTCGAAATTTCTCATACTGTAAACTCTCTTAAAGTCATAAAAATAAGAATAACACACTCTTAAGGAATATGATCTTGTTTTTGTTTTTTTACTGATTGAGGATTCCTTTATTTACTTTTTTGTATATATTTTTTCTTCTCCTTTCCTTTTATGTTTGTTTCATGTATATTTATTCATTTATTGTATTTCAAATGGAGTGTTGTTTCTTCTTCACTATAAATACAAAATACACTTCATTCAAATTCAAATGATTATTGCACCAAATCTTCACAGCAAACATTGGTCTTAGTGTGAACAGGCCTTTCTTTTTAATTACTTGATTATTTATTGTGTTGCATCCCTTCATTTACTCTATTTTACTTCTCTTTCAGCAGTACTTCTCTCAGAAAACTGGAGTTACAGATTCAGGAGTGAGTCGATTCAACAGCAGTGTAAGTATGAATCGGTTCACTGTTAATCTGACGATTCAGAATTCATGATTAACAGCATTTCTTTTCTTTTACAGACAGTGATGTGTGTCACTGTGTAACAGACAGATGAACACTGCATGAAGCTCAAGGCTGAGAGTAACTGTGAAAGACTTATTTCATCTGCTTAGCTTAAACTGGTCATGTAAACCTAAGCGTGGATGGACACAATCCACTTTAGACACAGGTCCGTTTGTGACCATGTAAGTGCGTTTGTACTCACTCAGTATGTCTATATGTCGATCTTTGATGCTGTCGACACACTGTTTGACAGATTCATCGCTACAGACGTCCAGTGTAAGCAGAGACAGAGTTTTACCGTACGCGTCTCCCACCGCTTCAACTAACTTATCCTTCCGCTTCAGATCCCGCATTGTACCTATGACTGAACACACAGAGAGAGAGAGAGAGAACTAGTTACTGAACACACACACAGAACTAGTTACTGAACACCGAAAACTAGTTACTGAACACACACACACGCATGGAGAACTAGTTACTGAACACACTTACACATAGAGAGAGAGAGGCATGTAAGCATGGTTCCCCAAGAGGGAACGAGACGCTGCATCCTCTAGAGCAGTGGTTCTCAACCTTTTTTACTCCAAGGCCCCTCCTCTCCGAGTCAATACTTCAAGCCCCCCCACCCCCAACCTTTTCTATTTAAAAAAAAAAATTGTATTCTAGTGTTATTACCTTTTAATTCCATGTAATTATTTATTTTAACTAAACAAATTCAAGATGGACTTAAACATAGTGTTCTATATTTGCAAAAGTGCTTAGCAAGAATGTCACTGCAGATATCCTTTACAACTTAAAAGTACTTAAGTTAAGCACAAGTCAACCTGCCATACCAAAAAAGACCACAGGGAGACGTCAAAGGACTGCATATAGCCACTATACGGATCTATTCAGAATCACTAAACACATCAAAATACAAATGAAAAATTAAACCATTCTAAATGTGTGGAAACTCAAGTTCATCAGTCAACAGCCAGGTCCTCTGTCAGAACAAGCGATCGTGTCTGTGTTTGGAGCGTCTGATACCCATATGTAGCTTACATAAACACCACCGATCCTCACAAACTACTCCAAAACACTTCTTCGGCGAGCATCCGTTATAAAACACTCGCTGTACATTAATTTTGACAGCAATGTGAATATAATGAACTGTGTTCAAGCAGAAATAAGATGTTTTAGATGTGCCAAGAGCACACATACACAGTTTGTTTGCGCATCAATCATAACACACATGCTCGCCTAATGATCGACTCCTGTATGTCACTATAATCGTCTTTACCTTGATTACAGTCGTCATTCATCAAAACCTTGCTAGTGCAACACTGGCTTCTTTTATCCAACCGAGAGTTGTAGTTTGCATATCATATGCTCATGCAGCGGTCGGGTGTTTTGAGCCGCTGTTCAGTCTGTGTTTCACACAGCGCGATGAGAAACGGCTTGAGCTGCTACGAAACACAGAATAATACGTACAAGAGAGGTGTTGCTGTTATTTTTTTCATTTTAATTTTTTATTTCTTTAACATATTAATCATAAAATTAGTTAATTGCATATAAATATAGTCTTAAGCAGGGTTGGGAGGGTTACTTTTAAAATGTATTCCGTTACAGTTACAAATTACTTCATTAAAAAAGTATTCAGTAACGTAATCCAAGTACAATATGAAAGTTATGTAATCTGATTACTTTTGGATTCCTTTTAGTCACATATGTAAATAAAGTCAAAAAAGCAATATCTAAGTATTTTTATTTAACTATGACTTTAAAATTAAAACGAATAAAAACTATAGTAAAAGCTATTTGAACCTATTAAAAATCGTGTCTTGTTTAACCATCTGGATATTACAGCCCGTATATATATTTATATAAAAGGCTATGCAGACATCTAGTGGCTATACAGTTTAGTATTACAGTTTTATTTTTCACGTGAGTAAACATGGGTGTCAACAGAACCAGAAACTAAGATGAAACAGCGCTAAATAAAAAAAAAAAACTCATAAAATGTATTTAATTTTAAATGATAAAAGGCTATGCAGACATCTAGTGGCTATACAGTTTAGTATTACAGTTTTATTTTTCACGTGAGCTCACGTGAGTAAACATGGGTGTCAACAGAACCAGAAACTAAGATGAAACAGCGCTAAATTAAAAAAAAAAACTCATAAAATGTATTTAATTTTAAATTAAACAAATGTATCCTGATAGTATTCCTACTTTTTACAAAATGTAACTGTAATCTGAATACTTTGTTTTTTTGCTGTAACTGTAACGAATTACAGTTACTAGATTTATGTATCCTGATTACATAATGCTGTTACATGTATTCCGTTACTAGGTGGTGCATTTTAATTTTTTATTTCTTTAACATATTAATCATAAAATTAGTTAATTGCATATAAATATAGTCTTAAGCAGGGTTGGGAGGGTTACTTTTAAAATGTATTCCGTTACAGTTACAAATTACTTCATTAAAAAAGTATTCAGTAACGTAATCCAAGTACAATATGAAAGTTATGTAATCTGATTACTTTTGGATTCCTTTTAGTCACATATGTAAATAAAGTCAAAAAAGCAATATCTAAGTATTTTTATTTAACTATGACTTTAAAATTAAAACGAATAAAAACTATAGTAAAAGCTATTTGAACCTATTAAAAATCGTGTCTTGTTTAACCATCTGGATATTACAGCCCGTATATATATTTATATAAAAGGCTATGCAGACATCTAGTGGCTATACAGTTTAGTATTACAGTTTTATTTTTCACGTGAGCTCACGTGAGTAAACATGGGTGTCAACAGAACCAGAAACTAAGATGAAACATCTCTAAATTAAAAAAAAAAACTCATAAAATGTATTTAATTTTAAATTAAACAAATGTATCCTGATAGTATTCCTACTTTTTACAAAATGTAACTGTAATCTGAATACTTTGTTTTTTTGCTGTAACTGTAACTAATTACAGTTACTAGATTTATGTATCCTGATTACATAACGCTGTTACATGTATTCCGTTACTCCCCAATCCTGGTCGTAAGTTATCTCGGGTGCGCCCCCCCGAAGACGCACTGCTCTAGGGGACACTGTGGGGAATGCTGCCAGCAGGACCGGTGTCTGAAGCATGTGTGAAACAACTCCAAAGCTATTGGCCCACATAGCCTGCGAGTAGTATAAGAGAGTATAAGAGAGCGCCTGCAGAACACGTCACCAACTTAGTTGTCTGAAGGAGACATGAAACATGCAGGCAGAAGGAACCATGGTTACATGCGTAACCCAAGATGTTCCCCTTCTAGGGAACTTCCGCTGCGTCCTTTATCAGACACTTTGGGTAACGAAATGCCAACTATACCATGCTGCGGCGCATGCCTGTCCACCTGGCGAGAGAGCACCAAGGGAGCTACAGACATACACCTAACCTTTCTTCAGAAAGGGGCCAAGCCACTCGCATAGCTTGGCAGAAATGGGGAACCCAGTTTCAGATGAAAGAGGGACATCCACATCAAGTTAACAACACAGCTATCCTCAGATAGCTATGTTATTTACATTTACATTATTTACATTTAGTCATTCAGCAGACGCTTTTATCCACGCTTCTTACTTGTGCTATGACAAGTCTCAGATAGCCTAACACAGTACACGTAGCAACACATAGGTTTTTTTTTTATTATATAATAAATATATAATAAATAAAAAGAAAACACACAGAATAAAAAAAGAATAGAGCAAGCTAGTGTTAGCATTTTTTTTGCTTTTTGTTAATTGTATAATAAATTAAAGAAAACAAGTAGATAGTATACAAAAAAATAGAGAAGCTAGTGTTAGTTAAAAAAAAAAAACAAGCAGTTAGTAAATGAATAGAGTGCAAGTCTAAAAGGGGCAAGTTTTTTTAAGAATAGAATTAGAATAGACAGTGCTAGAGTTTGAGGGTCAAATAAAGATGGAAGAGATGTGAGCACCTACTGGGGAGGAACCCAACCTAGTCATAGAAGCCAGGCTGGGGCTGTCACATTGAGCAGGGGCTGTCCATTTAAAAGCCCTGAGGTGGGGGAACAGTCTACTCAGACAAAACTTAATATGTGGGATTCAGAGGGACAGCTCACTTAAAAATACCCTGAGACCTGGGGAAGCAGCCCACTCCTCAACCCATCCGGCTTAACACAGTAAGGGACATTCCCCGAAATCAAGCTAGGAATACAGCTGTCCTCAAACAACTATGCTCCAAAAGCAATGGGCCATCCACTTGAGAAAAAAAAAAAACAAAGAGGAGAAAAACCCATACTTATCATGTGGGATTCAGGGTGACTGCCTACTTGGAAATCAGGGGAGGCCGCCCAACCTTACTACCCAGGCTAAGAAACGCTCTGAAGGTATCATCCCCCTTTCTGGAGCTGAGTGCAGGAGAGTGCTAATTCACTAGCCCTGTCTATGATCCTCAGATCATGACGGGCCAGACCCCTCAGAGGTAAGAAGACCTAAACCGTCTAAAAGAATGAACCTCCCAGAAGCCGCCAACTGCACCCATGTCCTGCATCCATCGGGAATATGAACAAGCGCGAGCGGAGCCTTGACACTGTTGACTCATCACAATAAGTGTGTTGAACTGAACGTGCGTGCTCCTCGCTGAGGCAATAACGCAAATAGTAGCATATGCCCTCAAGTGTTAGAATCCAAATACGGAGGCACACATTCCCTAAAGCGCTGCTTGACTCAATATAGCACTATCCGTGGGATTACCCAAGAAAAAGAGTGTCTTGGATCCCACCGAGCACTCGACCTGTGAACGCCGGTGATCATCTTAGTCTTTGCCATGCCTCGGCAGCAGCGGAACCCAAACCACAGGACGCAGATGCTTGTCCCTCTTCTCGGAGCTTTCTCATTGGAAATTCTCACAATGAGCGCATTCAGAGCCCTCGAGCATCGAATACACAAGACACATGACGCATAGATCGAGCGTGTCCTCATGTGTCAGAAACCTCAGACACGGAAGCACACACGGTAGCTGTGTACTTAACTTGGTGTGGATGTCCCTCTTTCATCTGAAACTGGGTTCCCCATTTCTGCCAAGCTATGTGAGTGGTTTGGCCGTCAGTGGCTTGGCCCCTTTCTGAAGAAAGGTTAGGTGCATGTCTTTAGCTCCCTTGGTGCTCTCATGCCAGGTGGACAGGCATGCGCCGCAGCATGGCATAGTTGGCATTTCGTTATCCAAAGTGTCCGCTAGAGAGGACGAAGTGTGAGTTCCCTAGAAGGGGAACATCTCGGGTTACGCATGTAAACATGGTTCCTGCAGCCTGCATGTTTCACGTCTCCTTCAGACAACTAATTTGGTGACATGTTCTGCAGGCGCTCTCTTATACTTCCAGGCACCGCCTGTGATGTCATGGGCTAGAGTGGTTTGGCCGTCAGTGGCTTGGCCCCTTTCTGAAGAAAGGTTAGGTGCATGTCTTTAGCTCCCTTGGTGCTCTCATGCCAGGTGGACAGGCATGCGCCGCAGCATGGCATAGTTGGCATTTCGTTATCCAAAGTGTCCGCTAGAGAGGACGCAGTGTGAGTTCCCTAGAAGGGGAACATCTCGGGTTACGCATGTAAACATGGTTCCTTCAGCCTGCATGTTTCACGTCTCCTTCAGACAACTAATTTGGTGACATGTTCTGCAGGCGCTCTCTTATACTTCCAGGCACCGCCTGTGATGTCATGGGCTACGTGGGCCATTAGCTTTGGAGTTGTTTCACACGTGCTTCAGACACTGGTCCTACTGGCAGCATTCCCCACATTGTCTGCTAGAGGATGCAGCACGAGTTCCCTAGAAGGGGAACTAGTTACTGAACACAGATAACTAGTTACTGAACACACATGGAGAACTAGTTACTGAGCTCAGAAAACTAGTTAGTGAACACACACAGAGATAGAACTAGTTCCTGAACACACACAGAGAGAGAGAACTAGTTACTGAACACAAAACTAGTTACTGAACACACACCCTTATGAAATTAGCTAACCATGGTTTTATTGTCGTAAAAGTGTAGTAACCATGGTTTTTTGGTGTACTGATTACCATTTGTAATTTTTTACCACAGTTTTACTACAAATACCATGGTTAAACTATGGTTAGTGTAGCAAAACCATGGTTCATTTGTGTTTACCATGGTTTAACTAACCATGTTTTTTATTTATTTATTTTGTAGTAAAACCATGGTTAATTTTTGTAAGGGCAGAGAGAGAGACCTAGTTACAAAACACAGAGAGAGAGAGAGAGAGAGAGAAAGAGAGAGAGAGAGGACTAGATACTAAACACACAATGACGTCAATATAAGACGCAATACAAGAGGAGTTTAAGATCCGATGATGACTGAATGCATTTAGACACAGGTCATATGCATCAATCTCTGTCACTGACAAATCATAAAGCTTATTACCACTCTGATGACATGTAACGTGTGTGTGTGTGTGTGTGTCTGCTGTACAAGATGAAGACAAAGCCACCTGAGAGATCAGTACCTTCATAGCATTAATCACTGAACCCTGATCCTGAATATCACGCATGTTTATTCTGTCCGGTGAGTCATTAGATTTAAATGGATCTTTTAGGGTTCATGTTAGTCTGCAGTCTTAATAATAAAATTAACAGAAGTCTGTAGGTTCCCTTTTACGTTCCCACTCTAAAAAATAAAGGTTTCAAAATGGGTTTTTCACAGTGATGCCACAGAAAAGCCATTTTGGTTCCCCAAAGAACCTTTCAGTTAACAGTTCTTAAAAGAATCATTTATTATTCCTGTGAATAACATCATCTAAAGAACTTTTTTTCCACTGTAAAGAACCTTTTGTGCAATGGAAAGATTCCGTGGATGTTAAAAGTTCCTCATGGAACATTTTAAGAGTGTTTAGCTCACTGGGTTTTGCCTCTGACATGTGTTACAGCGGGTTATGCTAAGCAGGGATAGAGGCCAGCTCAGCGCGCACACACACACACACACACACACACACACACACACACACACACACACACACTGATTATGAGCTGCTTCCCTGCACACATATGCTCTTTAAAGGATACAGTCACACACACACACACACACACACGTGTGTGCGTCTCTGTCTGCAGTCATTATAGGATCCCACTCACTTGACGGATTTATTCTGTCTCTAATTAATCTGATCTGATCTTCTATTGTCAGCAGCATCATTAACCAACCCAACATTACCAGCAATAACCATGGTAATCATAGAGTTACTACATCTTAGTAAACCGAAAACTTGTCAGTGTTACTTTGGTATTATTTATTATTTATATAACTATTATAGTGTTTATTAAAATGTTTAATGTGCTTTTATTATTTTTTTTATTTTCAATTTTCATTTTAACTTTGTCATCATTGTTATGCATTTCGACATTTTATTAGTTTTTGTTTTTAGTATTTCTATTTAGCTTTATTTTTATTTCAGTTAGTAATTTTAGTACTTATTATAATTAGTAGTCAAGAAAGCATTTCACGTTAAAGTTAAAGTTTTTCATATATTTGCTATTTTTATTTTATTTCATTTCACCTTTATTTCCATTCACCGAAACCAATCTTTAATAGTTTAAGGTAACAACTGGATCTCAATTGAGCAGAAGCGCTCCCTGATAGCACTCGTACATCACAGAGACGTCTATTTGACGTCTGCAAGACCTATTTTTAGAGAGTTTGCTCATCTGCAATACGTCTATAGGATGTTTCCTATCAGATGTCAAATAGATATTAGATGTCTTTAAGATGTTTATGATTTAGAATGCATGTAAAACTGACATCTTAAAGACGTCTGGCAGACGTTTACACAGCAGATGCGTTCCAGATCAAGCGATCTTTAACAGACCTCTTTCAGACGTACATGTGCTATCTGGGTTCGGTCTTTCTGTCACGTTATTTCTGTAACTAGGGTTGTTTGCCACTGAAGTAACAATAACTGTACTGTGGTATTTTTACAGAAACGTTGATGAATGTTGTTACCGTAGTAGCGCCTCATCTCGTCTCTCGCGAGCATCACGGCGATCGCGAGCCCGATACCGGACGAGCAGCCGGTGATCAGCACCACTTTCTGTCCCTCTGTTGCCATGCTTTCACCGGAATAACAGAGCTGTTACTTTAGCCTCTTCAGCGCTCTCTCTCTCTCTCAGCGGATCAGCGCACGGATTAGCCAAACCACCTGCTCAAGTTTGATAGTGATCGCCTTCATAAAACACAATCACATTATTAGCCGTATTACTATTTAAGGAGCTACTTTTAGTCAAATCTAGCACTATTACGTTTTTTTTTTTAAATGCTTACACACAAAATCTTTATTTGTCACACAGTTTCTGAAAGCCGACACTCAAACAGCAGAAGCACACACCAAATCTGCAAAACCATACGCTAGTTTGAGTTTCAATTTCATAAAACACTTTTTGCAAAACACAACACACAATTCTCTGTTGTAACACACAAAATCTTAACAGGACTTACTATTATGGAAAAGGTGTTTGCAATGTTTGCTTTTGAGATGTGTTTGTGACATTTTGAATGCAGTGCTTCATTTTGCATTTTGTGTGCAATTCTTGGATTTGTGTGTAAAGAAAAAAAAAGAGTCAAAGTTTTGGAAATGTGTGTAAGCAGTTAAAAAAACTGCTGAAGCGGTATAATCTGTGTAATTGCTCCAGTATCAGTCTGACAGCGCCACCCAGCGGTCACTTCACTGCACTCAACATCTGAGGACTAGAACTAAGTGGACTTTTGCACGTGCAGAATCTGAAATAGGTATTTCTTCATTTTATTTTATTTCATGTCACGTTTCTTTGTTTTGATTTTCTTCACAATCCCATCACTTTATTTTCAGGTTATGGAATGACATGAAAGATTGCATCTTCTGGACATATGAGCTCATGTATTTGTTTATATATTTATATTTGAAGGCTGAGTGTTTACTATCATAATATTAATTTAAAGACCCCTGAGGATGTTACAGACAAACACAGAAACTCATTCTCAGCTGTGAGCGTGAGAAGCACAGACGGGACGTCTGAAAATACGCATGGAATCCAATGAAAGACACACACACACACACACACACACACACACACACACAGGTCTTTCTGTCACGTTATTTCTGTAACTAGGGTTGTTTGCCACTGAAGTAACAATAACTGTACTGTGGTATTTTTACAGAAACGTTGATGAATGTTGTTACCGTAGTAGCGCCTCATCTCGTCTCTCGCGAGCATCACGGCGATCGCGAGCCCGATACCGGACGAGCAGCCGGTGATCAGCACCACTTTCTGTCCCTCTGTTGCCATGCTTTCACCGGAATAACAGAGCTGTTACTTTAGCCTCTTCAGCGCTCTCTCTCTCAGCGGATCAGCGCACGGATTAGCCAAACCACCTGCTCAAGTTTGATAGTGATCGCCTTCATAAAACACAATCACATTATTAGCCGTATTACTATTTAAGGAGCTACTTTTAGTCAAATCTAGCACTATTACGTTTTTTTTTTTAAATGCTTACACACAAAATCTTTATTTGTCACACAGTTTCTGAAAGCCGACACTCAAACAGCAGAAGCACACACCAAATCTGCAAAACCATACGCTAGTTTGAGTTTCAATTTCATAAAACACTTTTTGCAAAACACAACACACAATTCTCTGTTGTAACACACAAAATCTTAACAGGACTTACTATTATGGAAAAGGTGTTTGCAATGTTTGCTTTTGAGATGTGTTTGTGACATTTTGAATGCAGTGCTTCATTTTGCATTTTGTGTGCAATTCTTGGATTTGTGTGTAAAGAAAAAAAAAGAGTCAAAGTTTTGGAAATGTGTGTAAGCAGTTAAAAAAACTGCTGAAGCGGTATAATCTGTGTAATTGCTCCAGTATCAGTCTGACAGCGCCACCCAGCGGTCACTTCACTGCACTCAACATCTGAGGACTAGAACTAAGTGGACTTTTGCACGTGCAGAATCTGAAATAGGTATTTCTTCATTTTATTTTATTTCATGTCACGTTTCTTTGTTTTGATTTTCTTCACAATCCCATCACTTTATTTTCAGGTTATGGAATGACATGAAAGATTGCATCTTCTGGACATATGAGCTCATGTATTTGTTTATATATTTATATTTGAAGGCTGAGTGTTTACTATCATAATATTAATTTAAAGACCCCTGAGGATGTTACAGACAAACACAGAAACTCATTCTCAGCTGTGAGCGTGAGAAGCACAGACGGGACGTCTGAAAATACGCATGGAATCCAATGAAAGACACACACACACACACACACACACACACACACACACACACAAGTACTGCTTTCTCTGTGTTTTATCTAGCAGCTGATGCAGGAGACGGCTTGATTTAGGTCGTAGAGGTCAAGGTTGGGTCAGCTGCAGGGGTTGACCTTTGACCTCACCTTCACAGAATCACACACTTTTGCTGTTTCTTGGAGAAAATAGTCAACGGTTTGCAAAAGAGCGATTCATCACCAACATGAATGTGTGTGTGTGTGTGTGTGTGTTTGTGAGTGAGTGAGTGAGTGTGTGTGTGTGTGTGTCTGTGTGTGTTTGTGAGTGAGTGAGTCAGTGTGTGTGTGGACCCTTAGGCTCACTTCAAGCAGGAATTTGGAATCTGCCAGAGCACATTTTATTTTATTAGTTGGGCAGCTCAACATCTTGTTCGAGCATGTTTAAGAGTGTGTGTGTGTGTGTGTGTGTGTGTGAGGCGGCTGGTGATCTGGGGTGCGGTTTTGGAGAGTTAAAGTTTGTATGTTTCACTAAAGCCTGTGAAATGGGTCATTTATTAATTATGAGCTATTGTTTGAATGTTTGATGACTTCTGGAAACCTCTGATTTCATTAAAAGCAAATGGTACAAATGAACTTTGATCTCTGATCACAAACTGTCAAGAACATATCTGATCCTTACCAACATCAGAAGACAGACATGCTGAAAGTTTATTCAAAAACGGCATGTAGACTATTTTATTTTTTGCATTGTGATTTTTCATGACAATTAAGCACATTTCCCCCTGAAATTCTCTGTAAAATTATAAATTAATAATGTGCAGAAAACAATTAGATGCTAATTTCGTTCATGTTTACAGCCTGCTAGTATTTGTTCTACTGAGTTGGATTGGTTTTGATGTATGATCAGGGTACACTTTACGTTTTGTGAATGTAATTAATCTTATGTTTTATTGTCGTGTGGAATTTTCTGTTCTGTAGGCAGGAGAAAGTGCTGATATATATATATATATATATATATATATATAAGGCAAACTCAAAACAAAGTCATATTGTGTTAACAAATGAATCTTGAAGAAAGAGACCATGTTTATTTGTTGTCAGATATGATTTACAGTTATCAGCAGTTGAGGTGTAACTTGTGTTATAATGCTGCTAGAAGATCCGTCAGTTTGTATCGGGAGTCTGAAAGCCTGAAGAGCAGATCTGAGAGAGAGAGAGACAGAGACAGAGAGAGAGACACTCATATGAGACAGAGCAGATAAACCCCAGCCAGCAGTCTGTGTGCAGGACTTCTCTTCTCCTCCAGGTCTGCTCGGGATCTTCAGGTCCAGGTGCGACACACACACACGCCTCGCGAGCGCCGCGCGGTCCGGTGCAGCTGAGGATGATGAGGATGAGGATGATGAAGATGATGAAGACTCACCGGATCACCGGAGTCGCGCCGCTGATCGTTGTATTGCTGCTGCACGCGACACGAGCAGGTACATGTCTTCAGCTCGCTCTGGAGTTATTTTAATGTGTGAGATCACAGTTAGTCCTCATCTCTGGGTTAGTTAAGCTGCAGTTCACATCGCCTAATATCGTTATGGTGAAGAGCCACGCGTCATATGATGATGATGATGATGATCCAGTCAAATGATCTGATCGATCCGTGGCGGATTATTCTCTGAAATCTGAAGAGATTCTGTCCGTGATTTGAGAGGCTCTGTCTGTGCTCAACTCGCGACATCACAAGATTGTCATAAGTAAAGACATAATGAGGTGATAATTAATAAACTTACTCGCTATCATATTGTGTTGATGTTCTGATAGATAGATAGATAGATAGATAGTGTTGGGGAGTAACTAGTTACATGTAACGGAATTACGAAATAAATGTAACTGTAATCTGCTACAGTTACTGAGAAAAATGTGTAACTAACTTACAGTTACTTATGAAAATGTTAACGATTACAAAGGGGGTTACATCTGAATATTTTCACACATATACAGATTTGATTGATTTCTTTCATAAATTGCATTGACTGCTGTAAAAAGATGAAACACCAATGTTTAAGACAGAATAGGACACATGCTTGTTCGATAACTGTTAAAAAGCTTTATTTTTAAAATTAATTTTTTTTTCCTTAGGAATTGTTAGATGCCAGTGTTTCCTATCATAGTTATGCAAAGATCTGATTTCAAAAACAGTAGCATAGCTATTAAACTAGATCTTATGATTTTAAATCTGTATTTAACCCCAGAACAATCTCAAAGTAAAAACAGGTGCTGAAGTCTGATTTATAATAATTAAATTATTATACTCTTAACTCGAGTGACGAAGGATTGTGAAAGTCTGACAGTAATCAGTGTTGAATATTACTGTAAGTTAAACCCTGCCTGCTTTACATGTCTGAGAATGATTAACAGTTTAGAAAAATATAGAAATTTAAATTTAGAAAAGTAATCAAAAAGTTATCAAATGTAATCAGTTACATTACTTTAATGAAGTAATTAAAATAATTACACTACTCATTGCATTTTAAATAGGGTAACTTGTAATCAGTAACCTATTACATTTCCAGAGTAACCTTCCCAACACTGGATAGAGACAGACAGACAGACAGACAGAGATAGATAGATAGATAGATAGATAGATAGATACAAGTAGCTGAGTAAGTAGAAATCCCCAAATAGAAATATTTTTTGACACAACATTAAAACTCATGTCAGACCAATTGAATTCACTCAAACGTTGTCCCAACTAGTCAAACAGAGCTGTCTGAACGAAGAATTTCATATTGCTGAAACGTTTTGAGAGTTACCAGCATGCATTGCAGCATGAATAAATTATGCGGCTACTTTAACTGCTTCTAAAACAAACAAAAGATAGCACAGTTCATGTAACAAATGAAGTGTCCTTTACTATATGTACAGCTATCGAAACAATAATAAGAATCTGTTGTTCTCTTACACAGATGTATTGGCTGAATGGGGCTATTTGCATTTAGTGAATGAATCAATTCAAACTTACCAAACAAAGTAGTGTTACTTAGTACAACTATTAAGACATGATTTAGAGAACATAAATCTGAATGCATCAAGTTGCAAACAGTTCATTCAATTCATCAAGCCTGAAAGATTGCTTCATTCATATAAATGGTTCTTCAGAGAGTAGGCCGGTCTGACGGCGGTGGTTTTGTAAGCCTGTAGGGTCTAGAGACAGCGGCTCTTGTTCTCTGCTGGTTTTCTGGATCTGATCTCGCTCCAGCAGCTGTTTCTCATTCACTGTCTCTGTCTGGTTCCTTTCACGCCTGCTTTCTATCTTTGTGAAGTCATGCATCTTTACAGAAATGCTAATATAGCTTGCTTTATTGAGCGTTACAGTGCAGTGAGAGTGTGTTATTTCAGTGAAGGCGTTTTCTCTGATGAACCCGAGCTCCCTGAGGGCCTGTGGTGTTCAGATCGTCAGAAGCACATGCAGCGGGCTCCGATCTCAGCTGAAGTTACTCAGGGGCATCAGGTGGGTAGTAATCCACTGAAAGCCGTTCAGAAGAGAAATGAGAGCAAGGCTTTTTCCACACAGTCCCGACACGTCTGAAGCTGTCCGGCGTTCCAGCGCGCTGCAGATAAACGCTTTCTGCTGCTCCGTGTGCTGCACAAATGCAGCAGGAATCTGAGGAGATGTGGATGTTTGAGTCTGGAGACAGAGGAGCAGCAGTGACCGTGTTAAACCTGGCTTTCTGTGCGCAGATGAAGAGTTTTGAGCACTGAAACTGTGTCTGAACACGCCAGCAGATTTATCCGTGTGATGGTGTCACAATCACAACCAATTCGGTTCCTCTGTACGCTTGTTAAGATGCAACATATCAAATTACTCCGGGTCCGACTCCGAGCTTCATTTATTAGTGCACCTTTTATGCTAAACATTTCAATATTTTAGTACTATAGAAAAAATAAATCACTGTCTGGACAACTAAGATTGCGATATGGAAATAAATATCACAGTGGAACTAAAATTTTTGTTTCACTTTAATTTTTAATGTTTCTTTATTAAGTTTGAGATGCTGAAAACTACATTAAAAAAATATGCTGACAACTTATAAAATAAGATAATCTGTTATTACTCATGCATAACAATGACATGCTACATGCATAACGCTGCGCTAACAGCAGTTTAACATAAACAGTCACAGCAAAAGTGACCTGAAGTGTGACTGGATGAGTTTTGTCTTTAATGATGTTTGATTATGGAGCTGAAGGAGCGTTTGGTTGTGGAGAGGCCATCAGTCATGAGTTATTTTGATCTGTTGATCAGTAGAGTCTCACCCGGTGTTCAGGTAGAGGGGTTTATGAGCATCGCATGACTGTTTTGTGCTGAACGTCATGTAATATCTGTGTGTGGCGTCTGCAGGAGACTTTTGAAGGAGGTTTTTGGCTCCAGATGGTGTAGTTGTGAATCATCTTCACCTGACCTGAACCAGAGCACAGACAGACTCATGCTCCTCAGATGTTATATCACTGCTGTGGTTATGACTTCTTTCTGATCTAGTCATTTGACATCTCTTAATAAACAAGAATGGTTTATGTCATGTCACATCATATAGGAGAATGTAACTTACAACCATCCTTTACTCACCCTCATGGCATTGCAAATCTGAATGACTGTCTACTAGTGCTGCACAATTAATCGAATTTCTAATCGCAATTACAATTACGGATGCCACAATTACGTAATCGTTCAAAGCAGCAATTAATCGTTCACAGTCCACTTATGTTATTCTGCATGCTTAAGATGCTTTTTAGTTTTAGTATAACATTATAATACCATGCAAATGTTTACCTTTTTATTTAAAGAGAAACCAATCTGGTGTATAGTTGACATTTGAGGCTTAATACTATAGAAAAGCACTCAAAGTTAGTGTTTTCAGCTTGTTTATTTTCATATAAAAATATGGCATGCAGTTGCTTCAAACAAAGGTGTAAACATCATTCATTTAATCGTAAATTAATAATCGCAATTACAATTTTAAAGGAATAATCGACAATTATGATTTTTTTTTGTCATAATCGTGCAGCCCTACTGTCTACTGTGGAGCACAAAAGATGATATTCTGAGAAATGTCTCAGTGTTTGTTTGCCCATATAATGGAGTCCGATGTTGTTTGGTTCCTCAGCGTTTTTCAGAATGTCATCTTTTGTGCTCCTCAGAAGAGAGAAAGTCATACGGGTTTGGGACAACATGAGGATGACATGATGACAGAATGATAATTTTGAGAATGAACTATCCCTTTAAAATAGTTAAGTATATTTATCATCCTACTGAACCATTCAAAGCATTAATTAAAAATCAGAAATGCTTCCGTCTTGAGCTACAGTTTCAGTGAAGAGCCCTCTTATATCAAAACATTTTTTGTCTGTAGTGTTGCTGTTCTTTTGGAGAATAGTTATGTTTTCATTAGGTTCTTCAGATCAGTGCTGGGTTCACACAGTAGACCTTCTTCTGAAGAGTGAAACTGCACCAATCTCTCTCTGAAGCACAGCTCACTGCTGATGTTTCATCTCTGACCCAGATGCACATTGTCATCGTTCTTCAAACGGCTGCTGGTTTGATGCACAAGCTTTGGCATGTTTGTCAGGACGTCTTCTCAGCTGAGGTGGAGGTTTGTAGTTTTCCTCATGGATTGAGTGTTTGAGCCAGTGTCTGAACTCTCATCTGGCCAAGATCCGCAAGTCCCTGCCTTGACCTTTCACCCCGAACCCTTTACAGTTTCCTGAGCTCTTGATCTCTTGCAGATCTTTGAAGGTCAGTGTTGAGGATCAGTGTGGATTAAAGCCATGACCTCTTGGCGAAAGTTCAGCCAGAGTTGACAATACACTTACGGAAATGAACCGCAGTGAAACTCCAGTGTGATTGCAGTTGTACTAAGCAAGTGCAGAGCGTTGTGTGTGAACATGATCTTACTGTAAATCGAGACTAAATATGAACATGTGTTTACTCATCTCTCACCTGCACAAAAACACGTTCAGTATTCCTCAAAATCAATAAAAACTGTGAACTGCAAACTCAGAATATGACGCAAACATGCAATAATTGAATATGTTAAATAACACAAATATCCTATTTTATTAACCTATGTCTTTGCTGCTGACCTTTGATGATCCAATTCAACCATACTAATACGCAAAAATGACTAGATAAACGTAACATTTCTGTTTCCTTTTGTATTGCTGCGCTGTATTCTTCATGCAATCCAGAACAGCAGCCCAGCTGAAGGTTTGTTTGAGCTGCGCCCTCTACTGTACAGATGTGATTTTACATTTTCTTCAGCCTGAGGCTTATCCATTTCACTTTTGGTGTGACAGGGCTTTTACATTTGCCAAAAACATAACTTTTTTATATTAAAACAAACAAGCAAGCCCAGCCCAGATGAGAAAAAGTAATGCAAAAGTACCTCAAAAGTAACATAACGCATTTCCATAACAATTAACTAACGTAATTAGTTACTTTTTGTGTGATTCACCCTTGTGTGATTAGAAATGATGTACATGATTGTCTTCTGTGCAACATTTGTGGAGAATCTTCTTCAACTGTCAAGCTCCAGGAAAGATTGAACTCTTCTGTAAAGGATCTTCTGTCTTTGTTCTGTTCATTAAGAGCACTGAAGAGTGCAGAAGTGTGAAATAACTTTAGCTCTGGAACAGAGAAAGTCTGAAAGTGAATCAGGAATGAAAGCCAAAGGTCAAAGGTGAAGGTCAGGGGTGTCAGCGGACACACACCCTTAATAACACCTGTCTCACATCCGTCTGTGATGCTGTGATGTGTCTCTGCAGTTTACTGGGTTACACGTGTGTGTGTGTGTGTGTGTGTGTGTGTGTGTGTGCCCTTCATAAAAACACAAATATAAAATGTCTGGAAGTCTGGACTGCGTTTTTTAATTCACCCTCGTGTCATCATTCACATCTGGCTCCCAGACCCACACACACACACACACACACTCCCCTGCAGCTGCTGTTGTGTCTTTGATCTGTAGCTTGTTGTGAAAGTCTTTCCAAATGAGTTAAGTTTTTCAGCTTAGAGATGAGAGATGTGTGTGTGTTTCTTGTGTTTTAAAGACATACTAGTCATGCTGAGAACTTTAATGTGTGTGTGTGTGTGTGTGTGTGTGTGTGTGTGTGTGTCTGTGTGTGTGTGTGCTGTAGTTGCAGGGATTATACAAGCAGCAGGACTGATGTGAAAAGACACATGACCAGTCCAGACCTGCATGAAGATACTTTCACTCACTCACACACACACACACACACACACACACACACCTGCTGTCAGTCGGTGTGTGTCCTAACAGCTGAGACAGACAGACAGATGTGAGGACTCTTCATGAGACATTAACTTGACTGACAGTGTCATCTCCAGCAGCCAATAACATCGATGTGCTGAAGATTCTGGATCTATCAGATTCCATGGAGGGCGTGTCATTGGAGGCGGGGCTGTGCACGAGTAGGCGGGGCTCAGAGGAGGCGGATCTCGCTTATAAGATTGAGAAGAAAATCCAAGTTAGTGTTCCGACCAATCAGCTTTTCCCAGGTATGTGCCAACACACACACACACTCACACACACACACACACACACACACACACACACACACACACACACACACACTCACTCACTCACACACACACACACACACACACACACACTCACACTCACACACACAAACACGTCTAAATTATCTAAATGGGAACATTACATAGACTTATATTGTTTTTATATACAGATAGTTATATATTTTATAAGCTAATCTTAACCCACACCCTAACCCTACCCCTCACAGGAAACTTTCTGCATTTTTACCATTGAAAAAAAATGTGTTTACTTTCATACCAGTTTTACAAATGAGGATGTCCTCAAAAGGAGGTTTTTGGAGATTTTGTCAGGTTTAGCTCACTTTTGGGTACAAATTTGTCCCCAAAATATGGTTATGTTGCTACACACACACACACACACACACACACTTACTGTAAACAGAGAGATCTCGTAGACCTCTCCTGTTTTTATATGCAGATAATTTTATAGTTTGGAATTATTAAGAAAGAAAATTCTTAATACATTTTAATTGATTTAATACAATTAATACTTTTAATCATTAAGGATGCATTAAATTGATCAAAAGTGCTAGTAAAGACATATATATGTTACAAAAGATTTCTGTTTCAAATAAATGCTGTTCTTTTGAACTTTTTGTTCATCTGTGAATCCTGAAAAATAAAATGCATCACAGTTTCCACAGAAATATTGTGCAGCACAACTGTTTTCAACATTGATAATAATCAGAAATGTTTCTTGAGCAGTAAATCAGCATATTAGAATGATTTCTGAAGATCACGTGACACTGAAGACTGGAGTAATGATGCTGAAAATACAGCTGCACATCACAGAAATAAATTACAGTTTACCAGAGATTCACATAGAAAACAGCGATTTTACATAGTTTTTTACTGTATTTTTGACCTCTTTCAAAAACACTTAAACGGTGTGTCTCAGAGATTCTCAGTGTGTTTGTGTGTTTCAGACTCGGCGTTCCCGGAGGACTTCTCGGTGCTGGTGACGGTTCGAGCGCGGCGCGGCGCTCAGTGTTTTCTGCTGTCGGTGTATGACAGCGAGGGAGTGCAGCAGCTGGGCCTGGAGCTCGGACGCTCGCCCGTCTTCCTCTACGAGGACCACCACGGCCAGCCGACCCCTGACCTCTACCCCATCTTCAAGAAGGTCAACCTCGCCGACGGCAAGTGAGTGACACAACCCTAATGCGCATTCATTATTCAGCAAAACTGAACTAGTTTTTTTCCTGACAGAAACCGAATCATTTCAGTTCTACATGTGATTCAGTGAATTTCCGAAGCTTCAGTCAGTTAAAGCAGGACACACTGCAGATATATTTATATTCTTAAGTTATATGAAGAGAATAATTAATCCAAACACTCGTCATTTGACTTTCTTTTTTCTGTAAAACACACAAGGAGAGTTTCTGAAGACAGTCTGTGGCATTCTTTTGCTCATAATGAAAGTGAATGAGGACTGAGGCTGTTCATGACATAAAAGCTTCATAAAGGTGGTCAGTATGACTCTTCTGAAGTCAAACGATGCTTTGTGTGAGGAACAAACCCAAACTCAGACAGTAAAACCTCTCAAGTCAAGTCACATTTATTTCTAGTGCTTTAAATCAGTACAGATTGTGTGGAACAGGAAGATATCAGTGTTAATGTTGTGAAGTTCATCAATTATGAAAGCAATTCAATTTCAGCTCTATAGCAGCTCGGCAATAGTTGAAGTAGATCAGTTCAGTTTTGATTCGGTTTGATGAAACTCATCAGTGAGAGTCAGTCAGTGTCTGAATTGATTTGTTCTTGTGAGTCAGAGTCTGAATGAGCTGTTTGATTCATGCATGAACTGAACTGGTTTTTGAGTTCAGTTCATTGGAGCAGAAGGTCGTGACTGAATCAGTTTGAGTCTGTTCACAAACCGCACAAATTATCGTGTGACTTCAGAAGACTTGAAATATGTAGCACGAGTCACATTTTTGCCTGATTTAACCCTTCGAAGCTCATCAGTCAGCCTGCAGGTGTTCGCTGGATTCGCTCTGAACGTTCATCTCTCGCTCTGGACGTGTGCTGATGGACACTGTGACCTCTGACCCTACAGGTGGCACAGAGTGGCCTACAGCGTGGAAGGTCAAAAGGTCACGCTGTACCTGGACTGTCAGAAAGTAGCGACCCTTGACCTCCCCAGAGGCCCGGAGCCTAAGGTCAGCACGGACGGAGTGACGGTGTTCGGGACGAGACTCCTGGATGAAGAAGTGTTTGAGGTGAGTGTGTGTGTGTATGTGTGTGTGTGTGTGAGAGAGAGTGTGTGTTGATGTTGGAGTGTCTGTGTGTGTGTGTGTGTGTGTGTGTGTGTTGATGTGTTGGTGTGTGTGTGTGTGTGTGTGTGTGTTGATGTTTGTGTGTGTGTGTTTCAGGGTGAGATCCAGCAGCTGTTAATCGCTCCAGACCCCAGAGCTGCTGCTGATTACTGCCACACCCACATTCCTGACTGTGACTCCGCCCTCACCTACAACAGCCTATCGCTGGACCCCGTGGAGGTAACCCCGCCCACGGGAGGAGCTCATTAACATGCACAGTTCATTCATATTCACATCAGTATTTCTGCATTGATAATGAATATAAAACACCTCAAACGTCTCTGTCATTAATATTGATGTCTGTTCTTTGGCTCGGTGGTGAGTACAGTGTTAAACATGTTGTTGAGGACTCCTGCCAGTGTTTCTATCACACTCTTCAGCTGCTCTGTGTCTGATTTACAGCCGTTACTCAGCTGCACAAACACCATCTCTCTTTCTTATTTTCTCCATAGAGGAACTGATTTTTAATAACTCATAAACCTTCAAAGACAGACCTGCTGTGAGCAACAAGGTTATTAACCAGTGATTTATGCTTTTGTTAAAGCCATAAGCCTGCATTATTTCAATAGTGATTGAGAAATCTTCACCAAACATACATAAATGTCCTTCACAAAGCTGCATGGGATTGTAGTTCTTTCCCTCACTAAAGGCATTAAGTTCACAGTCTTGTGTCTTTGTCTTTTCACCTGATTTTCTTACACTTTTTTGCTCGCAATCAGAGTTTGTAATGTTGTGATTCTCCTCGTGGCTGGTTGGTTTGGTTCATGGATTAAAACTCGTTAATTATGACTTTTTAAAATCCCTGTGGGTAAAATGAATGGAAAAGAAGTTTCTATGGTGTGTGGTGTCTGTTGCAGGTCAAGAAGCCGCCAAGGAAACCAATCGAAGAAGAGTTTGACGATGACCTTTACAGTGACCTGTCTGTGTCGACTGCGGGAGACAACGCCACCGAGTACGAGGTGAGAGTGTGTGGCTCAAAGACAAAAAAGGGTTTGCAAGCATCAAAACAATGAGTGTAATAAAGCTTTGAATTGTTGTTGTTTTTCAATATATTAGAAAGTGTCCTGTTTAATAAAAAAAAAATTCTGCGCAAAAAAATAGTCATATGTCACGATGCTGCTGCTACTGTGTCGGAGACGAGGAGCGAAGGAGCGAGGAGACATCGGAGAATACAGCAATCACAGACTTTATTAACACACACGTAACACAGGAACCTAAGGACGTTTAACACTGGACGCAGAACACAGGAAAACACAGGGCTTAAGAACTAGGAACTAAACAAGGAAATCAATGGAACACACCTGAAATCACTGAACACAATCAACATGAGGGAGAAACTAGGTCACAGGGAGAACATGGAGCACGTGGGGGAGGAAAAACAAACACAAAACAGTCCATGGGCGTGACATCATACATTTTTACCATGATTTACAGAAAACACATACTAAAATGTAATTCAGTGTAATTTGTTAGGCATATTTATCACAATAATCAATTTATGACATATTAAAAGACTAATTAGTTTTACCCCAAATACTAGTTACTTGTAATTTTACATTTTTAAACTTTGCTACTATCCTATTTTGGCCATTTGTCAGCAATTTTTTTTTACTCATTTAAAATGCAATAAAGTTGAGTATGCTCACTTTTATATATTTTAATATGCACAGGTCAGAATAAGTATGCTGTTTCAGTTTTTGCATAAATATAAGTGTTACACAGAATGACAATGGAACATTATTTCACCCACATTTTGACATTTATTCTCCCAAAGCTTATTTGAAACCTTATGAGTAGACACTTTACTTGCATTTAAAGTGTTTTCTATGTATATAAAATCACTTTTGTAAAATTTATTTTGATGCGGACATTTACATGTCTTTGACCCATGTGTTTGAGTAACAATACTTCACTACTATACTTAAGTGTTATTTGCTGGAATTTGTACTTGAGCTTTGTTAAAACTGAATGCTTGCAGTTTTACTCTATTACTTTTACAAGGTAAAAAAAAAATACTGGTTACTCTATTACAATTCATGTAGACTTAAAAATATGAATCATGACCTAAATCTTTCCTCATTGATTTAAAAAGTAAAATGTTATTATTTCTGTACCCTAATGTGATTAACAAGCCAATCAATCAAGCTCATATAAGTTAGATAGCCAGTGAATTATTATTTTAGTTTAAATACTGGTAAGACAGCATTTTTCAGAAATATAGTTTATCAAAAATTAAATGTAATTTTCAGACGGTCAATGAGAAAGAGTGTTATTTTAGTAACTTTGAGATACTATTATAGGTTTTATAAATAGTTGGAATTAGTTTTTATTTTTATATTTTGTTTACATTTTAGTTTTTTTAAATATAAACGAAGAGTTCATTTGCAAAAACAGATAACTCAAAATCATGTTTTTTATCCTAATATCAATCAAACTGCAGTTGGGTTGTTTTTATTAAATAATAATAATAACAAAAAATACAGCTAACTCACACAATAAAAACATGATAACACAATAAACAAACATGATTTATGAAAATTAATAAAAACTGAGTTATCTGTCTTTGCAAATAAACTCTTCAAATATGTATATGTATTTTGTAACAATTTTTATTTCAGGTTTAGTTTTAGCTATTTTAGTAATTAAATGAAAATGAGAAATATTTTACATTATTTCAAGTAAGTTTTTTTTAATGGTTTTAACTTTAGCTGACTATAATAACCGTGTGTGTTTGTGTGTGTGTGTGTTGGGTTGTTTTTATTAAATAATAATAATAACAAAAAATACAGCTAACTCACACAATAAAAACATGATAACACAATAAACAAACATGATTTATGAAAATTAATAAAAACTGAGTTATCTGTCTTTGCAAATAAACTCTTCAAATATGTATATGTATTTTGTAACAATTTTTATTTCAGGTTTAGTTTTAGCTATTTTAGTAATTAAATGAAAATGAGAAATATTTTACATTATTTCAAGTAAGTTTTTTTTAATGGTTTTAACTTTAGCTGACTATAATAACCGTGTGTGTTTGTGTGTGTGTGTGTGTGTGTGTGTTTGTGTGTGTGTGTGTGTGTGTGTGTGTGTGTGTCAGATAGTGGAGTACGAGGACGCTGAGAACGAGACGGAGTATTTTAAGGAGTACACTGAGTATCAGGAGTATGAGGACTATGAGTATCGTCCTGCAGAGAGACAGGAGCAGTTCTTCAGCGGTCAGGTGTGTCTCAGCTGTCTGTCTCTGTCTGAGTGTCTCCTGCAGGTGTGTCTCACGCGTCTGTGGTCTTCTCGCAGGCTCTCGGTCCAGAGAAGGGGCAGAAGGGCGAGCCGGCGCTGCTGGGAGAGGGGACGCTGTTCATGGGACCCCCAGGCCTGCCTGGTGCTGAGGTAACCTCTCATGACAGCTCGGTGACTCTCTGTGTTTATGTGTGTGTGTCAGAGACAGACGTGTGTTTCTGTTGTTTCACACAGGGGCCTCCGGGTGAACACGGCCCTATGGGATCCCCGGGGCCGATCGGAGATCCAGGAGACCTGGTGAGACACACACACACACACACACACTCGTCATGATCGTCAGGCTCAAGACTGATATTACACACTCATCTGTCTCTCTCTTTCTCATTAGGGCCCCGAGGGCCGACAAGGACTTGCAGGGGCTGATGGGATTCCTGGACCTCCAGGGAACTTGCTGATGTTACCGGTGTGTGTCAGTCAATATACACTCGAACTTACAGAGACGTTTGTTTTGATGTTTGCTGACCGTTCAAAAGTTTTGGGTCAGAAAGAACTGTTTTTGAAAGAAGTTAATACTTTTATTCAGCAAGGATGCATTAAATTGATAAAAAGTGACAGTAAATACATTTATAATGTTACAAAAGATTTATATTCCAAATAAATTCTCTTCTTTTGAACTTTCTATTCATCTTTGGATCCTGAAAAATAAAATGCATCACAGTTTCCACAGAAATATTGTGCAGCACAACTGTTTTCAACATTGATAATAATCAGAAATGTTTCTTGAGCAGCAAATCAGCATATTAGAATGATTTCAAAATGCAGAAGGTTTAGTGTTAGGAGTTATAGTATTTATAACTGGCTGTGTATGAAAACAGCAGAAGTCTATGGACGGACTCCATCGAGACGAGTAAGCGTGTGTGTGGCGCCCTCTAGTGCTCCTGTGTGTTTGTGCTCTGTGTTATTCAGTGAATCTCTGGAGGAAGAGCTGCATGTCTTCAGGCTTCATCATTTAGCTTTACCTTCATCTGGATAGTTATACAACACAAAGGAACAAAAATAAAAACCATATCAACAGAGGAGCAACAGATTGAGCTCCAATCATCAGACTGAGAGTTCACTTTCAGTTTAATGTGTTTATTGGTTATAAATGATTATATATGACCTGGTGTGTTTGTGTTTGTCAGGGATCTCCGGGCCCGCGGGGTCTGAAGGGTGATCATGGGTTCACAGGACCTCCGGTACGAGAGGAGACACTCATCTGATCATCTCATATACACATCCAGTCAGAAGTGTGGGATCATTAAGATTTTTAATGTTTTGAAAGAAGTCACCAAGGCAGCATTTATTTGATCAAAACTACAGTAAAAATATTATTACAATGTAAAATATCTGTTTTCTATGTGAGTATGTTGTGTGTGTGTTAGTTTCAGTCTGGCGGTGACGCTCGTCACGGTCCCGTCATATCCGCTCAAGAAGCTCAAGCTCAAGCCATCCTGCAGCACACTAAGGTCAGACTCTACTCTAACTCTGCTCTCACTTCCTGAAGATGATTTTAGGGGCATAAAATCAGGATTTTAACACACAGTCCATTTATGACAACACATGAGGTTTGCATCACTTCAGTGCTGATGTTTGTGTCTCAGCTCTCTCTGAAAGGCCCGCCGGGACCGTTAGGACTCACCGGACGCCCCGGACCTCTGGTGAGTGCGTTTCAACCGGCAGAACCTGTTATTTCAACATTGCAATGAACAAATGTTAGTATTTCATACAGTGTGTGTGTGTGTGTGTGTGTGTATTTTGGGGACAATTTTGTACCTAGAAGTGACATAAACCTGACAAAACATTGTAAAAATGCAGAAGGTTTAGTGTTAGGAGTTATAGTATTTATAACTGGCTGTGTATGAAAACAGCAGAAGTCTATGGACGGACTCCATCGAGACGAGTAAGCGTGTGTGTGGCGCCCTCTAGTGCTCCTGTGTGTTTGTGCTCTGTGTTATTCAGTGAATCTCTGGAGGAAGAGCTGCATGTCTTCAGGCTTCATCATTTAGCTTTACCTTCATCTGGATAGTTATACAACACAAAGGAACAAAAATAAAAACCATATCAACAGAGGAGCAACAGATTGAGCTCCAATCATCAGACTGAGAGTTCACTTTCAGTTTAATGTGTTTATTGGTTATAAATGATTATATATGACCTGGTGTGTTTGTGTTTGTCAGGGATCTCCGGGCCCGCGGGGTCTGAAGGTTGATCATGGGTTCACAGGACCTCCGGTACGAGAGGAGACACTCATCTGATCATCTCATATACACATCCACATCCACATCCAAGTGTGGGATCATTAAGATTTTTAATGTTTTGAAAGAAGTCACCAAGGCAGCATTTATTTGATCAAAACTACAGTAAAAATATTATTACAATGTAAAATATCTGTTTTCTATGTGAGTATGTGTTAAACTGTAATGTATTTCTGTGATGCGCAGCTGTATTTTCAGCATCATTACTGCAGTCTTCAGTGTCACATGATCTTCAGAAATCATTCTAATATGCTGATTTGCTGCTCAAGAAACATTTCTGATTATTATTGTGTGTCTTTAGGGTCCTCGTGGGCTTCTGGGGGCTCCGGGACTCAATGGAAAACTAGGCAAGAGGGTGAGTTTCAACTAAACACAACAAACACCATCAGATACCTGTGTGAACACCTGAAACACACCTGTGTGTGTGTGTGTGTGTGTGTGTGTTCAGGGTCGTGGAGGGATCGACGGAGCCAGAGGTGAACCAGGAGAGACTGGCACTAAAGTAAGTTATACTGTTGGCTCTTGAAATGAGTCTGATCTCAGTTTGACAGATCAAACAAACATCGTGTATACGATGATCTGACCAATCACACGCTGTCCCTCATAATGAACCTCCATCAGTACAACAGGACATGTCAGAGATGAATGTGTCGATGAAGATGAGAGGATGCACAATATATAATCTCATGGGTCTGGTTTCATATGTCTGCTGTGTGTATTCATTGATATTTCATACATGCAGTAGTCGAATGTTTCTCTGCTGACGTCTTGTAAAATGCTGTGATTGGAACATGAAGTTCTAGTCCAACACAAATGAAGAGCTGCTGAACGTGTGGTTGATGACTGAACGGCCCGTGTCTCTGTGTGTGTGCTGTTTTCAGGGTGACAGAGGGTTTGATGGGTTACCGGGTCTGCCTGGAAACAAGGGTCACCGGGTAACACACTCTCCATTAACACTCATTATACGTCAGTGTGAACCTCAGATCAGAAACTTCTATCTGAGTGTGTGTGTGTGTGTGTGTGTGTGTGTGCAGGGAGATCAAGGGAAGAAGGGGCCAGTCGGTCCTCCAGGAGGCCCTGGAGAAAAAGTCAGTGAGCATTTCTTCTATATTCTTCTGTAACTTCTGTCTGTCTGTCTTTGATCAGGTTCAGAGTGAATGTTTGTTTGCTTCCCAGGGTTCAGAGGGTCAGCCGGGGCCGAGAGGTCAGCCAGGAGAGCCTGTATGTGTTCACTCCTGTAGTCACTCGTAGTATGACGTATTGCTCATCATCTTCATTGATCCACTGACGTGTGTGTCAGGGACTGATTGTGTTAACAGATATTCCTCAGTGATGTGTGTGTGTGTGTTAGGGTCTAGCAGGGTTGACGGGTCAGAGGGGTCTTCTTGGTCCTCCAGGACAGCAGGTGAGTGGATAAACTCCTCATTCTGTGTGTTTGGGTCTCATTATTGTGGTGTGTGTGTGTGTGCAGGGAGATCAAGGGAAGAAGGGGCCAGTCGGTCCTCCAGGAGGCCCTGGAGAAAAAGTCAGTGAGCATTTCTTCTATATTCTTCTGTAACTTCTGTCTGTCTGTCTTTGATCAGGTTCAGAGTGAATGTTTGTTTGCTTCCCAGGGTTCAGAGGGTCAGCCGGGGCCGAGAGGTCAGCCAGGAGAGCCTGTATGTGTTCACTCCTGTAGTCACTCGTAGTATGACGTATTGCTCATCATCTTCATTGATCCACTGACGTGTGTGTCAGGGACTGATTGTGTTAACAGATATTCCTCAGTGATGTGTGTGTGTGTGTGTGTTAGGGTCTAGCAGGGTTGACGGGTCAGAGGGGTCTTCTTGGTCCTCCAGGACAGCAGGTGAGTGGATAAACTCCTCATTCTGTGTGTTTGGGTCTCATTATTGTGTTCATATGATACGACTGACCTCCTCAGACAACAGGTCACATCAAAGCGTCATATGGATCATGTGTGTGTGTGTGTGTGTGTGTGTTTGCCAGGGTATTCGTGGGGTTGATGGAGTTCAGGGTTCAAAGGGAAACATGGTGAGTTCTGCTGATCTGAGATGTCTTGAATGGGTCATGAACTGAGAAACCACAATTCCCTTGATCTTTTGACATATAAGAGGTCATTGTACTATAAAAATATCCTGTAAAGCCCGGCTCACACTACAGGATTTTTAGCCCGATTTACCCCTCCCCACAATCGGAGGAAAAATCTTGTCGAGAGCTCCATCGGTCCCGATGTTCGGCGCAGATTATCTGGTAATGTGATGTGAGCTCGCACACAAATCGGAGCCGCGCCGATTAATATCAAACATGTTTGATATTTAGGATTTAAATCGGGATGATGATTGATGGCTATATGATTACGTCAGTACTTTCACAATAGCCAATGCGCGACCGCAAAACAGCTGCTGTACAGGTCTGTTGGAGACAGAGGAAACTGCTTCTTGACGTTTTGTACGACTGTCTGTATAATGTGTCAAAAACGTACAACAAACGTAAGGAGAAAGAGAAGTGCTGGGGTGAAATTGCCTCAGTTTTGAATGTACCGGGTGAGTGCAGAAAGCTGCTAGCATGCTAGCTACCATATGTAAACATCACTGAAATGTCAATGAGGATCTGCTGCGTGAGATCACGTGAGGCGCTCCCTCTGGCATGATAATCTTAATAAGATCTTGCAGTGTGTGATGTGCCACGATTTTCAAATCTTGTAGTGTGTGCATGTTTAACCCACTGATTCTACACCCCTGCCTGTTTAGCCCCGCCCACTGATTCTACATCGCTGCCTGTTTAGCCCCACCCACTGATTCTACAGCGCTGCCTGTTTAGCCCTGCCCACTGATTATACAGCAATGCCTGTTTAGCCCCACCCACCGATTATACAGCAATGCCTGTTTAGCCCCGCCCACTGATTCTACAGCGCTGCCTGTTTAGCCCCGCGCACCGATTCTCACATGTAGCGTTTATGAGACAAGTGAATGCACAGGTCTATGCAAAAAAACAAACTATAAAGATGGCTCTGAAGGTCTTTGCATTGCATTGGAAAGAGTGAATGAAATTTATTTTTAATGAAGATCCAGACAGCGTAAGAACTCGGTCCTTTGTTCACTTCATTTTACAAACAAGGCACAATTCGACGTGTTTGCTGTGTAACTATATTGGATCCAACAGTAATGTCACAACACACAAGTGAGAGTAACTCTTTTCATTACGTGATCACTATTGCTTTGTCACTTCTTACAGATCGTTTGATATGTATTAAGTTATTTATGCGTTTTTTACCTAAATCACAGCAGCTATTAGCCAATCACAGCAGTGGGCGTTTACCTCCGAGTCTACAATCCACCGCCTATTCAAACAGAGCGTTCTGATGAGGGGGTTAAAAACAGGACAGAAAATAGCCTATTACTTCTAAATTATTATGTTTTTTATGTAAAAATCTTGATAACATTATAAGTGGACCTCAGAGAAAAGTACAAAATAAAAAAAACGAAAACATTTCATGACCCTTTGAAAGACCCTGGAGCCGCAGGTCATCATCACACACTCTTCTCGTCTTCACACAGGGGCCGCCTGGAGAACCTGGAGCTCCAGGACAGCAGGGGAACCCGGGATTCCAGGTACACACACTCACAGATATAGTCTCTCTTTCACACACACACTCCTGACACTCTTTCTTCTGTTCTGCAGGGTTTTCCCGGACCTCAGGGAGCAATCGGATTACCAGGAGAAAAGGTGCCGCTCTCTCCATTACTAGAAATTATGTACTAATACTGACTCCTGTGAGCAGGTTTTGGGGACAAACTTACTGAAAATATGCTAGATGAACCCTCTCCAAACAGTTCCTGGTCTGAAAGATCTCCAGGTGGAGCAGACTCTAACAGGTGTCTTTCTCTGGCTCAGGGTCCTCAGGGGAAGAAGGGGATGAAGGGCTTACCTGGTATCGACGGCCCACCGGTGAGTGTTGAACTCATGCTGTTGTTGATCTGTGCTCCCCCCTGCTGTTCCTCATGATGCCACTGCACACAGGGTCATCCAGGACGAGAGGGGTCGCCTGGAGAGAAAGGCCTGCCGGTAAGATGCACAAACGAGTGTGTGGTGTCATCTTATTAGTGTCCTTGTGTTCATGTCATTGATTGTTATTGTGTGTGCTTCCGGTAGGGTACAGCAGGTGTTCAGGGGCCTGTGGGATATCCTGGACCCAGAGGAGTCAAAGTACTGATCTCTCTCTATCACACCCTAGTGTGTGTGTGTGGTGTGTGTGTGTGCTGTCATCACATGTCCGGATATCATAACATTAGATTTCCATACAGTATGAGAACTCATTATAGCTCCAATAATTGACATGTCCAGATATCATAACATCCTCAGACACCATTAGATCTTCAGATATCACATGTCCAGACATGGAACCCTAACATTAGTGCAGCTGCAGATATCACCAGATAACATAACATGCCTAGACACCAGCACATCTTCTGATATCTCAAATATTGTGAGATCATCACATCTGCTAGAATAATCACAGGTCCAGATGTCATAACATCTCCAGACTTCAGCACATCTTCATATATTACATTTCCAGACATTTTGAGACATCATGACATCATCACATGTCTAGATGTGATTAGTTGTGCAGATGTTTTTCAGAGGTTTCTGAAGCATGTGAATTGAGCACTCATGCCTTTCATCGCGCTGATTGATTGGCATGTATATGTGTGTTGTGTTCAGGGTGAAGATGGTTTTCCAGGAGCCAAAGGAGAAATGGGAGCTAAAGGAGACATTGTAATAACATGCAGACACACACAGCACAAACACTTATGAAACACACAAACTCACCCACAGACTAAAACATACTGTTAACCCCATCTGTATCTGTCAGGGAGACTTGGGTGCTTCAGGGATGCGCGGTGAGGATGGTCCTGAGGGGCCCAAAGGGCAGAGTGGTCCCTTGGGTGAACCTGGATCCGCAGGCATCGCTGGAGAAAAGGTGAAATAGTCTGCAACAACATCATCAGTAATACTCCATAGAAAATATTTTATCTTATCAAACACCCTTTTTGCACACATTTTCTGTTGATCAATCTTTTCTGTCTCCTTCTTCTGATTTTATCCCTCCTGTCCCTGTCCTCTTAGGGAAAGCTGGGTGTTCCGGGTTTGCCAGGTTACCCAGGCCGTCAGGGCCTGAAGGTGAGAGGAGCACGAGCAGATGATGAATGGATGAGTGTTTCAGTTGTATAGGAGAATAACTGCTGGTCTTGTGGTGGTTTCCTCTCAGGGTGCTGATGGTTTTCCAGGTCCTGTCGGCGTTCCAGGAGAAAAGGGGAAGAAGGTCACTGCTTGATTCCACAACTCAAAAGAGACAAACTGTCATAAAGACACTTAAAAGCACAAACATAAGTATATACATGTGCACTCATGTGAGTATAATCTGTTTCTCAGGGTCCACCGGGTCCTGCAGGGGCCGCCGGTCAGAGGGGACCCAATGTGAGTGTCTCTGTCCACACTGATGATTGTCAGCGTCCCACATGAGTCACATCCAACATCATTAATGTGTGTGTATGTGTGTTGTCAGGGTGCTCGAGGAGGCAGGGGTGCAAAAGGACCCACTGGGAAATCAGGAGACAAGGTCAGAGGTCATATCAGCCCTTCAACACACACGGAAACAAACAATGCATGAGCTGTATTACATCAGCAGTGCTGAAGTCATTAATTATGATTATGAGTATATTCTAATGGACAGTGTTCATATTGTTGAAATAACTGTAAAGGGCCAAACTGTCTCTGTTCTAGGGGTCTTCAGGACATGACGGCCCCCCAGGGCCCACAGGAGAGAGAGTAAGAGAATATCACACACATTTAGAGAGAGGATTTTTAGATTCATACATATTTTGTGACTAATCAAGTAATTTGATCATGTGATTTAATGTTGTTAGTTTTTGTGACTAATGCACATGTTCATATACCGCAGGGTCCACAAGGGCCTCAAGGACGTGTAGGTGAGGTGGGACCCAAGGGACCCAATGTGAGTGACTCTCGTCTTCACCTCATATAATAAGACAACACATATCAGCATATTGTAATGTCATTCTCAACACGTTCCTGTGTGCAGGGGCCTGCTGGGAAGGACGGCCTGCCGGGTCATCCAGGCCAGCGGGGGGAGCCGGTGAGTCTGGGAACATCTACACACAGGCTTGTACAAACTATACAATGGATGTGATTGCTGAATGATTGAACCCTTTAATACTGATGTGATGCAAAAATCATCAGTGCACTAAAATAATAATGAAAACATACAATACATGTTAATACAAACGTGGTTTTTATTTGCTTCCGTTTGCTGAGTATTCAGCCTGTGTGATGTTATGTTTGTGTAGTGTTTTGATGGTCTGTTGTTCACCTGGTGTTTGATGATTTGATTCCTGACAGGGTTTCCAAGGCAAGACGGGTCCTCCAGGACCAGCTGGTGTCGTTGGGCCGCAGGTGAGCTCATCGCTTCAGGAATCAGTCTTATTGACTGGGTGGATCCAGTATCTTTGAAGTTTCAAGGTTCAAGCTAAAGGCCACAGCTGTTGTTCTGACTGGTGGTGATTTTGTTGCAGGGTAATACAGGAGAAACTGGACCGGCGGGAGAGAGAGGACACCCGGGCACCGCAGGACCTGCTGGAGAGCAAGGTTTACCTGGAGCCGCTGGGAAGGAGGGTGCAAAGGTGGGAAAACCATCGGCACCAATCATAACGCTCTTTCCACTTTTAACTACCTTCCTTATAATAACCCTAAACCTAACTTATGATATGTGTGTGTTTGGTCATCAGGGCGACCCTGGAGGTCCAGGTACTTCAGGAAAGAGCGGTCCAGCAGGTCTGAAAGGTTTCCGTGGAAGTCGTGGAGCGCCGGGTGCCATGGTAATTTATAGAATACTGTATCCAGCTGATTTAGGATTGCTGCCAGTGATTCTTTAGGTTGTTAAATGTTCTCTGTTGGGCTTTCTGATTGGCCAGTGTTGTCATGTGACCTGTGTTCTCTTGTGTAGGGGCCAGTTGGATTAAAGGGAGGGGCGGGGCCAATCGGGCCCTCTGGACCTTCTGTACGTAATCTTTTCCAGTAATCTCACAAAAGCACGTCCAGTATATATAATTTCATATTGTTTTATTTTCGGTCTTGAGGTGAAATTATGACCTAGAAAAGTGATTTTTCATGCTCTGTTATATGTATGTGAAAGTATATTAACATATTATGTCACAAATATATGTGTTTCTTCCCAGGGGCCCACAGGTGAACGGGGCCCCCCTGGACTGGCTGGTGCCATTGGTCAGCCTGGTCGACCTGGAACCATCGGTGGCCCTGGACCAATGGGAGAGAAGGGAGAGCCAGTAAGACACGCCCCCACATGTGAAGATAAATGAATGACCAGTGAATGACCAGTGTGTGTGTAACTGTGTGTTTGTGTATTCAGGGAGATAAGGGTCTGATCGGACCCGCAGGACAGGATGGTGACCAGGGGCCCGTGGGATTACCAGGAGCCGCTGGACCTCCAGGACCCCCAGGAGAGGATGGAGACAAGGTGATGAGGGCATATGTTCATCTGTGAATAGTAGTGATGATGTTTGTCAACTATAAAGGACTTTTTGCCTTAAACAACAACTAAAAACAACCCAGAACACTCTGGCAACTACCCAGAAAACAAAAGTGCTAATAATCACTCAGAAACCGCATATTAACTCCCTAGAAACACCCTAATAATAGCATTTCTCACAATTTTATAACGAAAATGACTAAATTAATTGCTTGATAGTTAAAGTCCTCTGTGTGTGTCTGTGTGTGTGTGTTTGTTAGGGAGAAACTGGGGCTCCAGGGCAGAAAGGCAGCAAAGGAGACAAAGGAGAATCAGTGAGTGACGGAAATAAAACACACATCACATTCACACGTCACAGTGTTACCAATGATTTAAATCTGCTCTCAGGGGCCTCCAGGACCAGTCGGCACTCAGGGGCCAGAGGGGCAGCCGGGAGCACCAGTGAGTGTTTGAGGAGCAACAGCATCTTCATGTTTTCGCTGTGTGCAGAGAGTGTGTGTGTGATTGAATGTGTGTGTGTGTCAGGGTGTGGACGGTGAGCCCGGTCCTCCAGGACAGCAGGGCATGTACGGACAGAAGGGAGACGAGGGCCTCAGAGGATTCAAGGGCTCCAGGGGCCCCATTGGGCTACAGGTACCTAATCATCAACCATATCTCCTCTATTTCGATGAGAAAACATGAGCTGCAGATGTCAGTGTGACAGAGGCCCGTCATATAATGCAGATACGTGTGTGTGTGTGTGTGTGTGTGTGTGTGTGTAGGGGATGCCCGGTCCTCCAGGAGAGAAAGGAGAGAGCGGGAACTCTGGTCTACTGGTGAGCTCATCAATTCATCTGTCATTCATGATCATGTTTATTGATCTCTATGTAAATTCAATGTGTGTGGTGTGTGTTTGTGTGTTTTCAGGGTCCTCCTGGTCAGTTTGGGCCTAGAGGAGCTCAGGGACCCTCTGGTGGACAGGTAAACACACTCACCCCCATCATTTTCTAAACTAGTTCTACAAATTTTTTTTTTTTCGCATTTATTTATTAAACATTTTCTAAAACATATTTGTCTTTAGATACGTGTGTGTGTGTGTGTGTGTGTGTGTGTGTGTAGGGGATGCCCGGTCCTCCAGGAGAGAAAGGAGAGAGCGGGAACTCTGGTCTACTGGTGAGCTCATCAATTCATCTGTCATTCATGATCATGTTTATTGATCTCTATGTAAATTCAATGTGTGTGGTGTGTGTTTGTGTGTTTTCAGGGTCCTCCTGGTCAGTTTGGGCCTAGAGGAGCTCAGGGACCCTCTGGTGGACAGGTAAACACACTCACCCCCATCATTTTCTAAACTAGTTCTACAAATTTTTTTTTTTTCGCATTTATTTATTAAACATTTTCTAAAACATATTTGTCTTTCAGGGTCCTCCTGGCCGTCCTGGAGTACGCGGTCAGCCTGGTGGAGTCGGTGAGAAGGTAAATCATCCAGATGTTCCTGCTGGTGATCACATGATCTGATGAAACACACGCATCATGTTATATCTGATTATGATTGACAGGGTGAAGATGGAGAGTCTGGTGATCCTGGACCTGTTGGTGTTCCTGGCAGTGCAGTGAGTCTATCTCTCCTTCTCTGATCTTTATTCCACAGCAACACTTTCTTTACTACCACAGCAACACTTGACACGCCGTGCCGTGTCGTACCGTACTGAGCCGTGCCGAGCCGAGTCGTACCACGCAGTGGAAAAGCGCCATTAGATACCTGTGAACATGGGTCGCGGAAGCGGGGGGCCTGTGTTACTTTTGAGGTCTTGTACAAATATGGCATACAAAAATACATAGGATATAGGCTCATATGTATGCACTATTAATCATTAAAAGATCTCGATCTGGACTCAAACACACACAATCTTATTCCTAAATGACGATGATTCTGTTATGCCTGTTAAACCTTTGACAGCAGCGCTCATCATGTAAGCTTTATGTTTGAAACAGCTTTACAAACAGTCTACACAGTAGGCTACATTTCTGTGTTGCAAACATGGGTTACACTTTATTTTGATAGTCCACTTTAAGCATTCTACTAACTATAAGTAGCTTTGCAACTACACGTCAACTAACTCTCAGAGTAGACTGTTAGGTTAGGTTTAGGGTTAGTAGAATAAGCTGACATATACTTGCAAAGTTTCACATAGTCAAGTGTGTGTATGTGTTTTCAGGGCGAGAAAGGTGAGCAGGGTGAGAAAGGAGACACAGGACCACCCGGAGCTGCAGGTTCACCAGGAGCTAGAGGAGCATCTGGAGAAGACGGAGCGAAGGGGAATGCGGTCAGTATGTGTGTGTGTGACCTCTGTGATTATCTAGTGTGTTAGCTGACTTATCCTCTGTCTATCTCCCTCTACAGGGTCCTATTGGTTTTCCTGGAGATATGGGCGCTCCTGGAGAGCCAGGTGTTAACGTGAGTATCTTCACTGATGTCAGTTTGTTAAGTGACGTGCTGATGGTGAAAGATCTCGTCTGTTCTCTCAGGGAATCGACGGGAGTCCTGGATCTAAAGGAGATAATGGCGATTCAGGCAAATCTGTGAGTCTCTCTTATGTTTATGTCATTCATGTAAGCTCATGTTCTTCTGTACGAGGCTCCTGATGGCTCTGGATCTGTGTAGGGCAGTGATAGTGTTGTGGCATGTGTAGAGGCAAGTGTAGTTGAGACATCAGTGCTGTTGAGATGAGGATCTCTCATCATGTTTTCGACCCTCTCCTTCTCATTACTCTGGTGATTAGGGCCCTCCAGGACCCTCTGGAGAACCAGGACCACCAGGAAGACCAGGACGCAGGGTGAGTGTGTGTTTGTGAGGAATCAGGTTAGGTACAATATTATTCAACTTTGTTTGTGTACGTGTGGAGCTTCTATGTGCTTTTGTCTCTCTGGGTTTGTGTTTAGGGTCACTTGGGTCCTCCTGGAAAAGAGGGGCGGCCAGGGCTAAAAGGAGACAAGGTGAGACATTCAGTAGACTCGCTGAGTCTTTATTAATTTTCTGTCACACTGGATAAGTTATGTTGTGACATGAGTGCAGCATCATAGGAGCGAAAGCTCGGTTCCTGCAAACTCCTGAATGAGATTTGAAAGGATGTCCTAGAGAACTAATCGTTGGTTGTCATTCTAATTCATTATGCTGCCTCTGGGTCTGTGTTCAGGGAGCTCCAGGATACGAAGGCATCATGGGAAAGCAGGGGCCGGTGGGCGGTCAGGGGAACCCAGGGAAAGCAGGACTACAGGGGCTTCCAGGAATCCCTGGACCAGCGGTGAGCTCAGGTTTTTCTCTGCTCAAACCCATGTGACTTATCTGAACAAATGAACATGAGCCCTTGACTCGCGAGTTTACATACAGCCTCATCACCCATTAATATCCTTAGTGTCAGCATGAAATGGAAATTCACCTTGTTTTCCAAATGCATGTTTAAGGTCTTATTGTTCATTCATCCGTGCATGAAATTTGAAACGGTGTGCTCAGCTGAATCAAACACTGGCTGACGCCCCCTGCTGGCCTGGAGCTGAGGTCTCCTCTTATGGCGCTTTTCCACTGCATGGTACGGCACGGCACGGCACGGCTCGGTACGGTTCACTTTTGGGGGGTTTTCCACTGGGTACAGTACCCGGTACCTGGTACTTTTTTTAGTACCACCTCGGTTGAGGTTCCAAGTGAACCGTACCGTTACCAAAACGTGACGTGTAAACTCTGCAGATCACGGATTGGCCGGAGAGAATCGTCACGGCATATCAAGATGCTGATTAGACAGCATGATTATTGCACAGGTGTGCCTTAGGCTGGCCACAATAAAAGGCCACTCTAAAATGGCCTTTATTTCGATAGTCCACTTTAGACATTCTACTAACTGCAAGTAACTTTGCAACTACATGTCAACTAATTCTCATTAATCTGCATCTACATGTCTACTAACTCTCAGAGTAGACTGTTAGGTTAGGTTTAGGGTTAGTAGAATAAGCTGACATATACTTGCAAAGTTTCACATAGTCAATATGTTGTATGTTGTGGGCCCATCAAAATAAAGTGTTAGAAGATATTAAGCAGACAGTCTACTAATACTCTAATGACTGCTAGTTGACATGTAGTTGCAAAGTTACTTACTGTTAATAGAATGTCTAAAGTGGACTATCAAAATAAAGTGTTACCCAAACATGAAATAATAACGAAAGTATTGGGATAAAAGTTTATAGTCCAGATATAGACCATCAAATTGAGTAATAGACTTTTGGAATTAATGATACACTTCAAATATAGATTGTATGTGTAACATTGTGCCAGTAGGTGGCGACTAGTGACTGTTAAAATGTATTTGATGTCTGAATCATTCATTCAAGAGATTTGTTCAAAAACTCTGCACGAAACAAGTCATTTATAACATTTTAGAAATTTATGTTTTGTTTTCAGAATCGTGAGAGAACCGTATATCTGGCATATAACGAATGCTATACTGTTTCTAATACTAAAATGTAGACTAGGATGTAAAATGTACAATCTTACAGACTCCATGTATACATTAACAAGGATTTGGTACAATTATAATGCATTATAATGTCGTTTCTTCTCCAGTGTGCATGGTTCTGCAGACCACCCCCCAATCA